CAGCTTTGCTGGCTGAGGAACTCTGGGAGTTGAAGTCCACAAGTCTTAAAGTTGCCAAGGTTGAAGACCACTGTCGTAACGTGTCTTAAGAGGCTGCTGGCTGAGGAACTCTGGGAGTTGAAGTCCACAAGTCTTAAAGTTGCCAAGGTTGAAGACCACTGTCTTAACGTGTCTTAAGAGGCTGCTGGCTGAGGAACTCTGGGAGTTGAAGTCCACAAGTCTTAAAGTTGCCAAGGTTGAAGACCACTGTCTTAACATGTCTTAAGAGGCCTACGGACCTGGAAAAACAAGGGAGTCTGCTCCCTTACTGGCGTTTTAAAAATAGTTCAAAATAGCTCGGAGGATTAAACCTCTTGTCTTAGTGACCGACCCAGATTGGAACCTGCAAATAGTTTATATTACAATTATGGCCTGGCAGCATAGCTGCCCCATGTGAAAGGATGAAGTAACTTGCAACAAGTGTTTCAGAATAATGACTGCTGCCTTAGATTAGAAATGCTGCAATCCTAAAAATATTTTCATTGGATTAAACTGAAATGATGGTATCAGGTATCTTCATTTCCATCCGTGGCACTTTCACTTGTGCAAAGTTCTGTACAGACTTTTTCAATTGTTGAAACGGCATACAGCCTTACCAGCCCATACCAGTACTGTATTATACTACCCGCGCTGAGCAAAGTTACATTTCTGCAAAAAGAAATAATAAATGCATGTCACAGACTATATATTGCCTAGCTCAGATTTTGGGCAAGAAGCCACCATGACTCTGACTCAACAAAACAGCTGCAGTGGCGTTAGGCAAGGCCTTGCCTTAATGAGAAGGAAAATTTGCTTTCTTCTGTAGACAAAATTATTGCATCCTGCATATCCCCAAATAATCAGAGAATGGTGATATCATAAACCTAATACTTTTCCACTATAACTGCATGTTTTAATATTGCCAGACATTTTTAGTTAGTGGAAGAGTTCCTTTTCCAGTTTCCCTTACTATACCTATTAGAAATTGGAGTTGCCCATCTGAATGCATCAGTCTTGATAACTTACCCAGCATGGGAACATCTCCTAAATTTAGGTGTAGAATAGATAACGTGGGTAGTTTTGTTTGCAGCTGGTATTTTTATATGACATTTCCTTACTATGTCCATGTCATTCCCAGCCCACTGGGATTTCTTGACCTGTTTCAGTGTGAAGTTATTCTGGCTGTCACACATTCCCTTGCTGTCTAGTGCTGTACAGGTAGTCCCCGATTTACAACAGTTTGTTTAGTGACCATTCAAAGTTACAATGAGACTGAAAAGCGATTTATGGACATTTTTCACATGACCATTGCAGCATCCCCCAAGGTCATGTGATCAAAATTCAGATGCTTGGCAACTGGTTCATATATTTTTTTATTGAAAATTTAACAAGCTTTTACAAATATTTCCCTCCCCCACCTGAGCCCATCTCCCCTCCCAACCTCCTCCCCCCCCCCGACTTTCCAGAGCAAATACAGGGTATAAATCTTTAACAATCATATTCTAAAAGAAACTAAAAGAAACTTGGCTTCATCTTTCACTTGTGCTTTAACTCCTCTTTTGTTAAACTAACTATGCAACTGGTTCATATTTATGACCGTTGCGGTGTCCCAAGGTCACGTGATCCCCTTTTGCGATCGGACCACCGAAGTCAGTGAGGAAAACCAGATTCCCTTAACAAATAAGTTACTAACTGTGGTGATTCACTTAAAAATTGAGGTAAGACAGGTCGTAAAATGAGGCAAAACTCATTACCAAATGTCTCACTTAACATCAGAAATTTTGGGGGTCAATTGTGGTCATATGTTGAGGACTACCTATATCTCTTTTGCTGGACCTCTTCCTCTGTCTCGTGCTCCCATCACTGTTTGTCTCTCGTTCTCTTTGCTCTTGTCTTCCTCCTACCCACTTCACTTCCATTTTCCTCTTCTCTGCCTGCATTACTATCAGCTATGCTATTTTTGGACACGGATTCAGTGTTCCTGAAAAGAGTGTTAGAGTGCATGTTCAGAAATTACCCAGCTGACCGGCAAAAAAGGGCCTTGCTCAGGGCAATGTTTCTTAAAACCTTTTCTATGTCTCTTATCTCTTGTCAGGCTACTTCTGAACCCAGGTCCTTTTGTCAAACAAACAAACCTAAATCCATATCCAAACATAGCCCAGTTGAGAAGTCACAAATGCAGGATGATACAAGAGAAAGTTCTTTCCCCAATTCTGTGCCTCTTTTTTTCTATATTACTTGTTCTTTATTTTCTCTCCTCCCCCCCGCCCATCCAGGGGTGGGTTTCTCGCCCCATTCCAACCGGTTCGGTTGGAACGGGGCCGGCGGCGTTCCTGTGCACGCACGCGGCGCACGCATGTGTACTAGCGTCTGTGCGATGCTCCAGCTGCTCCTGGAGGATCGCGCAGGCGCTGTATGCGCCTGGCCCTGCGGGGGAGGGGCGGAACTCTCC